CTAGTTATTACTGGAATTATAGTATGATTTAATACCCCTGACATCATTTGACTAAACCACTCCAGTATTAGTTTTATTAAAATGTGAGAACTTGGGTATTTATCAGGCAGATTTACCCATATAATATTAACACACTGAAAAGAAGAAAGCTATCTTCAAGAAGCATTATTGATAGACACTATTACCTCCAACAATTTACAACTGCTTCACAATTTTTAATTAATATCTTAGGGCATAATAGAATATTCTACTTAATTTAAAGGTCAACTATTTTTCTTTGGCAAAGAAAAAGGGATGACCTTCAAATCACATTTTCTTCTGTATCTCACATTTTTTAGAAAGTTATTACTTCATGTTATGTAACACATATTGATGCTACTTATTAATGAGATATAAAAATAAGGAAACCATTATTTAGTTTCCTAAACATACATCAGAAAATATAAATAATGTATTTCTGTCTGATTTTAAACCTTTGCAATTATTGCATATATTCATCCACGGCGTACTGTAGGCTTCCTCCCCAGAGCAGTTCTAGCACTTCTCTAAGTATATGCTATTCCTCTTTATCCCTTTGAAGAAAAATGAATCACATCCACAGCTTGCAGCTATCAAAATGCGATTTATCAAGCATTTTGACAAAAGTGTGTATTACCTCTTCTTTACACTAGGAGGCACATTTTTCCTTCATACAGTTTCATCTTAAAGCTGCTGCATGAATCTCTTAGATACATTTAACAATTTCAATCTAAATTTAAGTCCCTGACAACCTATAGTAAACCACGCTGAAAAAGAGTTTCCACTAACAAGGTTTTGCTTGATGCTGATAAAAACCACACTGATAATAATGAAAAATGACATTCTGCACCTGACTGCTGACAAACAAAAACACAGTTTTCTTTAGACTGACAATGGAAGAAATAACTCATATGAAATTACATCAGACACCCGTACATTTTTAACAAAGCCAATCAAAAAAGATGTTTATGTTAATAGTGCACTTATTTCATGTTAAACACATTACAAACCACTTAAAACAGGATTTTTCATAATAAAAGATCTTAAGTTGTACAACTAAAAATGATTTTTTTTTCCATTTTTTTCTGTTTTTTTCTTTTTTTTGTCAGTTGGTTGATTTGTTAATGGGATTGTTAATTGTTCAAGGTCTTGAAGAAACTAAAAGGTAAATAACTTTCATCAGATAGATGGTTGATCATTGGAATATCATCATTTGATTTTTATAGGAAATGTATGTGTATGTATATACATTCAGATTATTCAAAAACAGTACTTTCCAAGAAAGTACAGATTCTCCTTTACTGTGCATACTTTGGTTTTATAACAAACTATAAGAAATGTAATATCTGCAGTCTTCTCCTGTTTGTCATCACGGTTGCAAAAAAAAAAAAAATAAAAATAAAAATAAATTCTCTTGGCCCATGTTTCTGGCAAAGTCATAGTCAGCAAGACAAGGATAAGATTCTTAATCTTTGCATTTAAGTTCAATAAAACACTGTAACATACACAAGGCTTGCCTTACTAATCAATAATATATGCAAAATTAAATCATTGTAACTATGGCTCTTGAATAACGAGACCTCCTGTAGTAAATTTGTATTATTTGTTATTATCACCTAATAATGCGTAACGAAACTAAATGCAAGTGTCACTCTGTAGTGATATGCTGTTTTTAAACAAACTGAAGTGTTGCTCACTGGTGAGACCCTTCCTAAAAAGCATAACAAAGTGCTAATGAAATAAAGGTAGAACTAGTAAATTACAACTGATGGGTCGTCGTAGTTCCCTGACAATTGATTAATATAGATCATGCAATGCTGAAATGAAAAAGATATCTTAGTGAACAGAATGAAACACTTGAGGAGGGAAAAAAGAAAGAAAGAAAAAAAAAAAGCATTTAAGTATAAATTTGGACTGCACACATCACTATTCAAGTTTATATAAAATTAATTTTTATTTCATATTTGTGTGTTATTGCTTTTCCCTCATAACTATGGTGACAGTGAGTGGCTGACACTGCTAGTGTTTGCAGTCTCTCTCCATTTCAGTTTCTCCCAGTGAGAAAGACTGCTGCTTTAAGATTAGTCCAATGAATTTACTCTCATTGTGTATGTTTTTTTTCATTACACCATGCAATTGTTTCTGTCTCTTCTCTGTGGAAGTTAATAGTGTCGAGAAAATAAGATAGTAAGATTTCTCCTACATTCATATAATAAGTTATTGAGACTTTTAACTCCCACATACACTTTCAACATTGCAGGTTTTGAAGTTTTTGGTCACTGCTCAAAATTGAACTAAAATAACAACATACTAATATTGACAAACAATGGATGAACTTTTATTTGCACAACTACAGAGTGTACAACACCAAACCACGTAATTTACTGAGCATTAAAGCCATTTACTAAAATTACTCTCATCCTGAGGCAACAACTTTACCATTAAGATTAACCCATTTTCCCATGAACTGCAGCAAACTTTCATAAAAATACTGTAGGAAAAGTCTGTATATTTTTCTGCAGATTTTTTGAGATCATTAGAAAATATTCTTGTAATTCTCTTCAGTTGAAATAGTTAAAAGAATAATAAAATACTATTCATCAACTGTACAATCTAAATGTACTACACATACATGGGAGTATTACTAGTCTTCATTAAGATTTTTACCTTATATTATAGTAGTATCATTTACCTCAGAATTCAAAGTGTTTTCATAAACAGAAATCCCTTAAACAGTCAGTGAAATTAAACTGTCTCTTCTTATTGCATTTCACTGCAATAAAACTGGAAGTTAAAATTAGGAGTGTCAAGGTATACAATGTTAAGATAATACTATGTCAGTTACATTAACCATGAACATATGTAAATGCCCAGAGAGCAATTTTGTCCAATCACCTTTTTGTCCAATCTTCTGAAAAATGTCACAGGATCTTCAATAACCACAAACTGCTTTATACTCCATTTCACTTCTCATCCAAAAATGTATCCAGTACCAAAATAACTTTAGGCATAATGCCTAAACAATAACTTGATGCTGAATAAGATATAAAAGTCAAATCCATCTAATGGGCAACATCATTCCTTTCCTGCTTCGGGTTTTTCTAGGATGATTTCTGTCACGTTAGCAACCACATCATTCCCCTTGTAGTTTGTGAGGTTTTATGAGATATAGACTACACTGTTTCAATGTCCATTCTAATTCATTTTGATAAAAGGTGAAAAGCTTGCATGTCAATAGTCCACTATTCATTAGTAAAGTTTGATTGCTATATTTTCATAAATTTCTCATTAATTTAGCATTCCCAAGACTAAATTGGGTGTAACTGCAGACATAATAAAACTTTTCTTATAGCCTTTAATAACACTTATTCACACTGATGTTCCAATACTGTGTGTATTAGGGATGAATAGCTCTTTATCATAGTTAACGTTCTTCATTTGAACAACAAGCTTCACAAAAAATTTGTAAAAACACATTTTTAGTAACTTGACGTGAAGTTTACTGGGCACATTTTTTTGAAATCTTCTATGAATTTTATGTCACATAAAGAAAAAATGGGCAACTCAGAGTCTGCAAAGCCAATGTGAAAGTGTCATCCAGGCAATGATGCCTTAAACCCCCTCTCTGATCTTGTTAAATTCTTCATGCAGTCAGAGAATTAAAAGGATAATTCCGCTTAAGACCCTCCCTCACTTAAACAAATGTAAATTCTTTGCTCCAGAGTCAATGCATTCATAGTTGCTAATCTATTACAGTTCTTTGCATTCCTACAGACTTAAGGTTTAAGGTGATAGACCCAACAATACTTCCGTTTAGAGGAGAAAAGAGTCAGCTATCAGATCCAGAAAAACACGAAGGAGAAGGGAAAAAACAGAACAAAATTCAGACAGGAAAGATTTTCCTTCCCCTCCCCCCTCCCACCTCCCCAGAGTTTTATAGTTTTATCCCACATATCCTCTTTATATTCCCTTAAAAAAGTATGAAAAAAAATAAATAAATGCTCCTAAGGTCAATAGTTCATCGTTTACGTTCTCATTTACCATGACTTAAATGTAATTCAAATCCAGTTCTGCCCAAATGAGAACACAGGTCAGAATTTTGTGCAGCAGATCCCAGTGCCACCTTCCTTCCCTGTTGTACAGACTCACTAAAAATTTAATCATCTATAAAAAAGGGAGAAATGTCAGAGGAAGAAATTAATCCTTATTTCTGTACTCCCAAAATGCAGGAGAATGCAAGTTCAATTACCTTCCAAGAGCAGAGACAGGGCTTTTAACCTTTGTCTACACATTCTAGACAGAAAACAGAAAGCTTAATGGCAGTGTTATTGCCCTCCTCCAGTTTTCAGTGTGCCCAGGCCTCCATCTTGCAATGGCCAAGAACTAGTCACAGCTTTTGATAAGACCTCACTTCATTTTTTATTTTTTTTTTTTGGTACTGACTGTCACAAACACTGCAATCATGTAAATTTATTATAGCAAAGAAGGAAAAAAAAACAAAACAAACAAACAAAAAAAACCAAAACCACTTGCCAAAGTAGGTACATGCTTAGTAGTTGCATTAAAATGCTCAAAAAAATGTTCCAGAAAGCAGATCATGCCATTTCAACTTAACAAAGAAACCATATGATCCTTGCAGTAAGAAGGGGATATTACAGGTATGTGACCGGGCAACCTCCAAAAGCCCAATGCTAAATGACAACAACACTGCAGACTACTTCATAAGATTTCCTTCTTTCTATCCATTCTCACCATGCAAAACTGCCTGGAGCTGTTTTTTTCTCATTGGACATGTCTCTGTTTCTTCAGATGAATTACAACACGGGGAACTTCAAGCAAACCACATTATCTTCTACCAAGCATTATAAGCTAGACGACCAAATATTCATGCAGGTGCTTAAAAATATCTCTAACAAATCTGAAAGGGAAGGAAAAGAGTGACCAAAGCAATACAGGTAAGCAGAGCTCTGTCAGTGACTCACCCGAGTTGGGGTCGGAGTTGCCATCAGCTTCAGTCCTCTTGTCTGGTGAGGCCTGGTCGTAGAACTCATCCTGCGGCTGAACCAGAGGGAGAGGGTGTGAGATCAGGGTTCCACCACCCACCGGCTCGTGGTCTCCCAGACCACTGTCACTGCAGCTTTCCTGGGAGCCATCGGGGAGGTGAAATGTAACACGGCGCTGGGACTACAAAGAAGAGCACAGGACATGCTGATTAGTGCTCTTCTTTTCTGTTCTCCTGATTTTTTAAAAAAACTTTTGAAGTACAACTAGTTTCCTGGCAGTGCTGGAGAGGCAATTGAGTTTGCTGGTGATTTTTTAAATTTATTTTTATTTTTGCTTGCTTTTAGAGCAACCCAGGGAAGACAGCAGACAAAAGTACTCATGTGCTCATATGTGAAGTAACCTTCTCATGAGAAAGTGATCAGCAGACCTTTAGGTATGTTTCTTATCATTTAAAAATTGCGATCTATGAACACTTCCTGATAAGCAGAAATAAACATTGGCAAACTGTTATGAAAAGCAAACATTGGAAAATGTAATAAATACACTCTCCTGAGCTTAAAAACCCATACTATCACTGCTCATATTATTGAAACTAAAAAAAAAAAAAAGCCCACCAAGTTAAACAAAAAAAAAATGTATATTTTTACTTTGTCATCTTTCAAGAATTGAAGGATTTACATGGATACTGAACTGATATCAGCACTCTACCTAATACAGACATTTAACTCTGATAATGTAACTGTGAAACTGCACTGATCAACAATGAATCAAAGAATGCAATGATGGAATATGCAGTTATCAGTTCTGTAAGAAATATAAAATTACAACTCAGGTATATTTCTTAAAGGAACACGGAGAATGGCAGCCAGAACTGTAATTTTTCTTGAGCTTCTTAAGAAAGAAAAAAGTCACTGCAAAAGTAAAAAAATAAAAAATAAAAAATAAAAATCCACATTGTGCATTTGGTTTAGTTGGTCATTACTGTGAAATTCTCATCTGGAGAAATAGCTTGACTTCAAGAGTTGTGGCCACAGTATAATGCAGCAATTCCCTGTGCACTCCAGAGCCGTTAGCACTATTGTGAGTTGTTTAGCACTAGCAGCTGTAGCATTCATGAAAGGAATATAACAAGTCTTCAAGGATCAGAATACAGCATTTCTGAAGCCTCAGAAACAACTAGTTCAAGGCCATCTCAAGAGGGAGGTTAAATTAAGTTAAGCACAACTTTCTTCAAAAATGAATTTCAGCAGCAGGGAGCTGCTGAATCGGATCAATCTGGTTAGCTAGAAAGATTTAAAGTGAAGAGATTCACAAAATTTGCAGTAAGTTTAACAACGGTTTGTTTAGCGCTTTTTTTTTTTTTTTTTTTTATGAGAAACCCTTGAGTTAATAGTATTAACTGTATGTTTGCTTATTAAAAACTATTTGTTAATGGTAATTGCTGCCATTTTACATGATGATCAATATTTTCTATGAGGCTTCCTTTTATTCATTTCCCTTGGGTAGACACAGATACTTGATTAAGTCAATTTTCAATTACTTTCGTGCAAGTCAGTATAGAAATAAATGTACTATTTGCTCTTGGCTGTGATTTTATAATTAGTATCTTACTTTTAAGTTCCTTTCCTAGCTTTAGGATTGGAATCCAGCTTAAAAAAAAAACAAAAAAGAAAAACAAAAAAAAACCCAAAAACCCAGATCCTCTGAGTCACTGAGCTGTATTAGTTTATACCAACAGAAATCTTAACTCTATATACTGTCAGTAAGCATTCTTTTACTTCAAGCTTCAATACTTTTTCTTCCAGTATTTTCACTATGGAATTGCCACCCTGAACAATTTCTCTAATCACTAACAGATATTTTTCCTTTAAATTTGAAAAAAATATACTTAAGCACACAGCTTAAAAAAAATCTTCTCTTCCTACATTTATTTTCAGTAACCCAAATTTACAAATCTGTTTTTCCAAGGTTAAGAATTTATGTCACTAGTAAAATCAGTAAGCAGCAGAGGAAAAGGAGATTAACTTCTTAACCTAAACTAAACTAAAAGACTTCATAAGAAAATATGAATGACTAAGAAAAGTCCTTAAAGAGGAGAAATGAACATTTCAACATTTTGGAAGATAATTAAACTGTTGCACTTAATTTACCACCCAAATATACTGAAAAAAAAAAATGCAGTTATACAAATGGACAGTTTCATGGGCTGTGAAGCAGAAATACTGATCTTGGTTACCAAAAAGCTCCTTATCCTAGCCAAAATCTGTTCTGACTCTAAATTGACAGTCACTTTGTAAAATGGCAGAGGTTGAATACTGATATGGCAACTCCTCAGTTTTGTAAATTTTTAAGCTCGCACTTTGAATGATAAGAAAAAGATATATAAGTTTGGTTGTATGGCTTTCCAAGCATCTCAATAAGGACCCCACCAATCATAAAGAATTACAAAACTCTGAGGGTCCCTTAAACAGTCATCCAGATTCAGAGGTGACGAAGGGGCAGCATGCAATCAGTCAGGAAATGTCAGACTAAGCCATGCCATCAAAACACTGAGAGGAAAAGCCTTCCACAAAGAGAGACTCAAAGCCAGTGCTTTAGACATATCATGTCACTCAAAGGGGAAGACAATCCATTCCATCAACTGGAATCTTATTAGTGTCTTAAAGAATGTTCCATGCCCAGTGCTGCTCTCACAGCCCATACTCTCCTCCCTCAGGCTGGCAGGTGCAGCAGGCCTGAACACCTCCAGGCTTACCAGCACACAGCACACTTATGGGTGCTTCAGTCACCAACACAGCCCCTCTGCCTGTTCGGATAACACTACCTGGCTCTCCAGCTGTATCATATTCAAAGAACAGGCCCCTTGATACTCCAGACTGGTAAACACAGGCCCATTTGTGAAGACACTGTGGAGAGGCACCAAAGAGCAATCTAAGAGACAAGGAGGTACCAATGAGTCATATGTGAACCTTGACATCAGTAACATCTATGGGGGAAACTTAAAGACTCCCTTGCAAGAATCCCTTGATTGGTAGATGCAGGTGCACTGTGAGATTTAACATGCATGAAATAGGAGAGAACTTTGTGGGAATTGTATAATATTCATATGTTAAATGTATATAATGAGGGTGATTTAGCTCTGGGGTGTGCATGCCTTGTTGAGAGATCAGTGTGCACACAGTGCTGTGAAAAAAACAGTGTCAGCTTTCTAAAGTATCATTTGGTTTAGAGAGTTTTCTTGGTTATGGCTCTTGATAACATTTATACGCACTCAGGTCCTGCCATGAGCTGCTGCTGAGCCCTTGCAGTACTGACACACACAGAACAAGGAGTGAGATTACTCGGAGAGACAGTTAAGAGATTAAATGATAACACAAGACAGACTGTGGTGATCAGCCCCATTTTGTACCCCTTTCTGATTGTTCCTCTTCTGTTCCTTTCAGTCTCCTTCCCCTAAACTTTCATTCATAAACTTGGCACTGTCCCTCAAATATCCCAAATCCTCACATTCCCTTGTTTCACCCTTTTCATAAGTTACAAAGTCCAGGTTGGCCCTCTCCAAAACTGCTGGAAAAGTTTCCATTGCCTAATGACTGGAAACTTTTGGTCCTTGGCACTGTCTCCCTTGTCTACAAAATGTGTGTCCCTGGTTTACGGCTTCCCCTTCTAATTATTATTTAAATGCCCTTGATTAATGAAGCAGATGCTCTCACCTTCCACAAATCTTTAATGAAAACAGGCTGAGTTAGATCCTTACAATGCAAGGTTGTCCTTGCCTCTCCGACTCCTTGGACACATAAGATTCCTAAAATAACTGAACATGTTCAAACTGTTTTTTTTAAAAAGCTATCCACTCACAAAAAGGCTTTTGCTTTCCAAGGCATACTGACTTTCTGTATATAATAATATCAGGGACTTCTTTCAGGAGAAAATCCTAGAGCATGCTTAGACTATATATTTTTTTTATTTTTATATTTTTATAATTTTATTTGGTTCCTCATGCAACCAAAGGAAGCTTTGAACTTTTTTTTACCTAAATATAATTAATTTATTCTAAAAAACATTGATACATGGTACAACTCTAGAATCAGTGATAACAAGAAACTACAGTTTTAATTATACTATAGTATATTTAGGAGAAGTACATACAGCATGAGGTAGGGCTATGGTTCATCTCCATACCACATGGCCAACCTTCAAATCTACAATCTGTGACATATTTGATCATAAATCATCATTTCTGGGGGAAAAAAAATGCAATACATGGGCTTTCTTTAGATCTGATTTTTAATCGGAAAATATAATATCTTTGTTCTGTAAAACTCAAAATTAAAAGGAAAACTCAATTAAAAACATCATTTGTGTCATTTGGAAAAAATTAAAAATAAAAATAAAATAAAAAAAACCCTTGTGTCAAAATAATTTTAGTATGTAACCCAGGACAATTTAATCAATATGTCTTTGAACCTGGGCTGAATTTAAAAATCAGAAAAACAACTGATATCAGATGTACTGAATCATTCTTCTATTAATCACATTTTGCAGCAGATTCCATAAAGCTCATCCAGGTGAACCATGACTTCATTCCCACAAGAGGTACACAGAAAAAAATAATTATGTATCTTAGATGGTGACAAAGAATAGCAAACTCTAGTGTTGATAAAAAAAAAAGTGTTGAAGCGTAATATGAACTTTTTTTTTCTCATTCCAGACAAGGTGGTCAGCCAGCTGATACTTTTATAGTAGTAACAAGCAAAAGTATATTAAATCAATCATACATGAAACTGGTCTAGTTACAAATAAAGAAGTGAACTTAAACAACATCTGGCAATTTCTAACAACTGTAATTTGCAAGATTGATAGACATAAATAATAGTGGTGATTCTTGAAAATGACTAAGAATAAAAGCTCTTGAGGGGTTAGGGAGGAATGGATGGAAAAGGATAGAGATATTGGCACAGGCACAGAAAAGTAGAACCTGTGCTTGGCGTAGCATATTACATCTTTCTTCATTAGCACATTTTTATTTCAAGATACTGAAAGCATTTTAAAAATACATCTTAGCTGCATCTTACTCTTCTGTCACGTATTTCTCACTTCTGTTTTCTTGATGTAAGGAATGCTAATTGGAAATAAAGTAATAACTACAAATATCTGGAGCAGTTTCATAATTTTTCAAC